ACGCACACTTGTTGATTCTATATCAACAACAAACATATCACTTATATCCGACCGGGCGGGGCGCGTACTGTCTTGACCATGCCGGCCTACCGCCCTCCCCGAACTAATTGCTCATGTATTCATTATGCAAAGTATGAAAAAAGAGACAACTGAGTTGAATAATGAACACCCAATCAAAGGTTACATCCATCAACTATGTCATGGAAATACAACAAGTACAATGTAATGGAGGGGTGGATCCATGGCCATTAATCACAGTAGTGTCATCGTCAAGCATAGTGATGTAGCCATGATTGGCATCCGCCCCCACAAAGTTGCTAGGAACCTCGGGAAACTCTCTTGAGCTCCAGAGTCCAACGTTGTCCCCGATGTGGCCATCCTCTTCCTGGCAGACGATTGCTCTTGCATGTCTCTCACTGGGATTCTTCAGACACCCGGGAAGACCTAATTGATGCCTTGAACTCTACAATTTGCCGGTTGCCAACCCCTGTGACCTCTGCCTCGTGAGGCTCATGCTAAAGCTTGACATGGAGATGATGAATGGTCTAGTATACATAAGAGAATACTACACCCTACAAACTATAAGAGAATTATTATGAGAAAATCAAGAGAAGAAGTAACAGATTAGGGTGGGGTTAGGCCACATGCAATGCTAATTGACCCTGAGAACTCACCGATAGCATCACGATGGCCTCTGAGTTTGGTGATGTCCGCATGCCATGGGGGCCACTGGCTACCTACCCATATTGGGACCCACATGGATCCATGGCTCCCCTCTTCTTGGTTTGGGAGGTTGATAGCGGATTAATGCTTAGATGACTCGCCAAGTGCCGATCGATATGCTATATGCGCCCTCCAGACTTTGGGGACTCATCGGCTTATCTTGGGTGAAGCGGTGAATGGCAAGCCCATCACCTCTGGCCTCTGAGGGAACATGGCCACCTATTTGTGGAACCTAAGGTGTCCATCATCTTTTGGTCACCGCATGCTAGACATAGCTTCATCGATGAACTCTATGAAGGGATTGCCAAGCTAGCATCGCCGACTTATGATCACCAACCACTTCTAGCCTATAGTTGTCAATGACCCGTTGTCATGGATAGTTGGGACAACAATCAAGTATTGACCGTCATTGACATGTAAGATGAGGGAATCATTGAGAGCACCTGACTTAGGGTTGCCAACAGCCCTTGATCGTCACTCGCTTGCCTCACCAAGCTCTCATACCTGCTGCTTGTCGGACCGTAAGCTCGTCGAACAATGTGTGGCGCAAAGGAAGGACAGTGGTTGTTCGTTGGCGGTCTTTATATTAGTTACCATCACTAAACCATACTGCTAAATGCTAATCAAACCGGAGAGCTCACCAGACAACGCGAGGTGCATAGGAAGGACATTAGATGCTCATTGATGGCTTAGGGTTACCATCATCGACTTCACCCCAGCGGGGAGTCTGCCTTCTATCCCGGATGGGAGTCTGCCTTCCAGCTCGGCGGGGAGCCTGCCTTCCATTTCAGCAGGAAGGAGCTCAAGCATCCGGTCGGCTAGCCAGGAACAGTAACAACTAGGACAATGAATGAGTTGTTTAATTATGTATTAATGTTGTAATTAATTAGTCATTATTGCGCATGACAATTTCCATTTGTAAACGCCTATAAAAGGAAATTGAAATTCAAATGTTTATGCATGTTACCTAATATGAATAATGTGGTAAATTCAAATATACTTACATCTATACACAATCACTCACACACACATATCTTAAAATCTTATAATGGTCAATGAGGGTTATACCCTTTTGGGAATAGAAATTTTGTTGGTGTAACACCAAAGCATAATGCAGTTGTACTCTTGTTTGAATGGTTGTACATTGTTTTCATATATATAACGATTACATATGTCTCCGTTAAAAATTACTCCCTAAAATTTAACCCTGAACCCTCCATTGTCTATCTCCATTAAAATACCTTTGCATTGAGGGATGAGATGGTTCTGAACCAGTCCGAGTATCTCTGCGCCTCAGATCTAGCCAAGCCCTCTCGACCGAGAAGATCTGCTGCCTGGTTAATTTATCAAAAGACATGTTGAGTTAAGCTGGAAGTGAATCTTCCACTCACAATGGAGAGTTGTTGAACTTCGAAATGGTTCTGAGCTGGTCGAGGATGTGTTATCGGCTTTGTAGAGCACTTCATAGTTCGTTTCCATCTGGAATTTCCGGTTACCCAAATGAGTACACATCCGGATTGTTTGGATTGTAGATTTCAGTTCCGCCTGGAGGAGAAATTTCTCTAGGTGTCTCCGCTGATCGCTCCACTCACTCTCCCCCCTGGAGTATGATGTGTCCACGTTAAGGCAATAAGAAACAGGTAATACTTTCTTCCACCTTGATGATCTAGCTTTGTTTTTCCATATTCCTGCCAGTTGGAGGCCTTCTTGGACTAGGTCTTTACGTCTTTACTGAAGCTCATATATTTGACCTCCACATTACAGAGAGAGATTGCACAAGAACTTTTTAAATCCCAAGATCTTAATTAACTCAGCGTTAGTCCTTAAGCACACTCAAGTTCTTTACCGTGTGAGTACTTTAATTGAAGGAATTCTTGTAAGTATGCTAGATGTTCGTTAATATGTCTATCTAAGAATTCGTGTTAGGTTTGTGTCCGTGCGTATGAAGTATGAACTTTAACTTGAAAGAGCAAAACGTAATTCTTGTAGCATACTTGGTGTTTGTAGATAAGCCTAAATCACTAAAAATCACTGACTGTATGCTCTTCCAAAAAACATCTGTCATAGATCGAAATGCTAAAGTAAAGATCTCATGCTTTTTTTTACATCATTCAGTTATCTTGTTGTTTGAATAGAGGTCTTAAGTAAGAATAAAAAAAAATTAAACTCCAAATTTGTTTATTTTTACATCTGAACGTTAATCTTTTTAAATCATAACTATTTGCAATAAAGAATTTGGCAACAAAAATTGATGTGTAATAATGAAACCAGCATCGTAATGCTATTTGAAAAATCCGGCAACTATTCTTAATAAGAATCAAAGAAAGGTTTTAGCTCGGTTTTAAGTTTTTCCTTGGAAAGAAAAAACCATTCGAATTAACTGTTTAATTAGTTTATCTTCTTTCCAAAAAAATGATGTGGCCTAAAATTATACCACCACATTGCTTGTTCAATTTTGGCTTTGGAATACTTGTATTAACATGAACAACGGGGTCAATTAACATACAGGGAGTACAGAAGCATTTCATTAGTTTCTCACAAAATAAAAATCACATATGTCTGTCTAAACTTGCCATTTTTTGTTAGATGAAACACTACAAAAAAACACGGAGTTAGTCACGGATTTAGTCACGGACCGTAGTATAAAAAATCCGTGACTAACTCCGCTAGTCACGGACTTTGTCCGTGACTAAATCCGTGACTGTTTGGGCGTGACTAATTCTAGTCACGGTCATTTTATCCGTGACTTAGCGTAGTCACGGCTTAGTCACGGACCGTTTCCGTGACTAACTTGTCACCGGAATAACCACACCGGCGACTTAGTCACGGGCCTTTTCCGTGACTAATATAGTCACGGACAAATCCGTGACTAAACTTTCAAATTTAAAAAAATGAACCGCCAAATGTTACGGTTTAAATTTTCAAATTTCAAATTTTAGTCACGGACTTGATCCGTGACTACTTTTTTATTTTTTAAAAAAAAAATTAAATTTGAAAAATAACTTTTTACAAAATCGGTCTAGAATTTAGTCACGGCTCGGATCCGTGACTAAAGTTTTTTTTTTTTTAAAAAAAGTTTTTTTGTTTTATAAAAAAAATAAATTTTTTTTTAATTATTCTTTAGAAAAGTTTATTTTAAAAAATATTTGTAGAATAAAAGTAATAAACAGACTACTAGAACACACATTTCATAACCAAACAGACTGAAATAAAAGTAATAATAAGCACAATAGAATTATAGTAAATAAACAATGTTCAAATAAAAATGTATATCATTTACAAGCTCCTCCGGTTACCATTATGATAATATCTAGAATCATCATATAGGTAATCTTCTTCGGTCTCATCTTCTCGGTTGTCTCCAGCTTGGCCTTCTCGATTGCCACCGCGACTGCCTCCTCCGCGACTGCCACCTCCGCGACTGCCACCTGCTTGGCTGCCTCCAGATGTTTGAAACAGGTTGTGAAAATTGAGACATATCGATTGAAACAACAAACTGATTTCAGTAATGCAGGACCATACGTGTTCAGGAAGCATCTCTTTTAGTGCAATTGGTAGAAGTCTTTGCATTATTACATGAGCATCGTGAGTTTTCATGCTCGTCGTCGTGGTAAGTTTGTTCATGTCTACGCATCTAGACAAGTTGGAGCAGTAGCCATCTGGAAACTTCTGAGACGCAAGCCATTGTAATATTGCTGCCTTTTGTGGTTCTGTGACCTGGTAGACTGCTTTTGGAACTTCCTTGCCCTGATATTCTAGATCAACAGAAAGTTCGGGTCTATCACACCAAATAGTCATATCTTTCCTAGCTGCAAGACCGTCTTTAGTTTTGCCTTTCAAATCCATCACCGTGTTAAATATATTGTCAAAGACGTTCTTCTCAGTGTGCATGACATCTAAATTGTGACGGATGAGAAGGTCTTTCCAATAAGGCAACTCCCAGAATATGCTCCTCTTTGTCCACTTATGGGTATCACAATACCCATATGGCTCTTGGTTTGGCTCTTCCATAGCCGTAGGAAAACGTCGAACCCGGTTATAAATTTCTTCACCGGTCAATCTCGAGGGTGGGCTCTCTCGTACCGCTCTGCCTCTAATGAAAGACTTCTTGTCCTTTCGATATCGGTGCCTTTCCGGGAGAAACTTGCGGTGACAATCAAAGTAACTTCCTTTTTTGCTGTAACTCAGCCAGTTGGCACCTGATTTCTCCATACATATCGGACATCCCATCAAACCGTGTGTGCTCCATCCCGAAAGCATGCCATAGGCAGGGAAGTCGCTAATGGTCCAAATGATGGCAGCTTTCATGATAAACATTTTATCTGATGAAACATCATAAGTTGGTGTCCCAACGGCCCACAGTTCTTTCATCTCCTCGATAAGGGGTTGGAGATAAATGTCTATCTTTCGCCCAGGATCCTTGGAACCCGGACAAATTAAAGACAAAAATATGAAATGACTTTTCATGCACATGTCGGGAGGGAGATTGTAAGGAGTTAACATGACCGGCCAACATGAATAGTTCTTGTCAAACCTGCCAAAAGGAGCAAATCCATCTGAGCACAATCCCAGCCGCACATTTCGTGGCTCCATAGCAAACTGAGGATGACAGCGGTCAAAGTGTCTCCAGGCTTCACAGTCCGAAGGGTGAGCCATCATACCGTCGTTGGTTTCGTGCTCAACATGCCATGTCATGTGTTTCGCAGTAGCAGTCGAAGCGTACATCCTCTGCAGTCGAGGAGCTATTGGGAGGTAATACAGTTTAGACAGTGCAGACCTATGTCGTGGTTTCTTTTTACCTTGACGAACAGGTTTGTATCTGTCTCCACCACAGAACTTGCAGAACTCAAGTGCCTCATCCTCCTTCCAGAACAACATACACCCTTCCGGGCACGCATCAATTTCAACACAAGGTAGCCCCAACTTAGACATTAACTGCTTCATGTGGTAATATGAATCCGGAAGGGTATGATCTCGCGGTAGCATCCCTCCTACTGACTGCAAGACTCTATTCATGCAAGTTTCAGGGAGACTGTATTCGGCTTTTATGTTCATGAATTCAGTAACGGCGGATAGCTGAGAGTATCCCTCACAATCAGCATACAGAGGTTGGTCGGCAGCTTTTAGAACATCCTGAAATCTCTCAGCCAAACCTTCATCCACATAAGGTTGATAAAATGTCGGATTTTCATCCGCATCTGGTTGATACGAGGTTGAGGCTTCAGGGGGGTCGTTAGGTGGTTGTGGGGGGTTGAACTGAGACATCGGTACACCGTATGCGTCATATACCATTTGTTGGTCCCACCTCATTTCAGCACGGTCTCCCCACACACTCATCTCTGGAGGGACGTAACGAGACGAACCTACCGTTTGTGGTATAACAGATGGATCCAAAGGTTCGCCGTGAGAAGTCCAATTATAATAATTGGGAACAAAACCGACCGCGTACAAATCATACCCAACTTCGTGTGGGTCTTTAAATTTGAGATTTTTACACTTTGAACATGGACATCTTATTTTATCACCACTCATATAAGCCGGATGTTCAAGTGCAAATTCAATAAATTCCCCAACTCCCTCGAGAAAATTTGATTGCATTCCGTACAATACCGCATCTTTATCATACATCCAACTTCTATTTTGTTTATACATTATGCCTGAATATTATAATAAAAAAGTATACACGTTCAAATACTAACAATAATACTAACAAATTTTAAGTGAGTTATTTCACTAAATAATCAACTAACTAATTTTCACTAAATTAAATGAAATGCACACAATTCACAACAATAATTCACAAAATATAAGTAATTACCTAATACTTAAATTTAACTAATATTAAAAAAAATTTAAGTAATTTATTAACACTACATTTAAATTAAACATACGTTTAACTAAATTTAACTAATTCATTTAGTTAAATTTAACTAAATTTAACTAGTTCATTCCGTCCTCTTTTAATGCATCACTACGTTTAAACCCACGTTTAGCTAACTAATATAACATAATTAACACATCACTAGCTACGTTTAAACCTACGTTTAGCTAACGAATTTTAATTAAATTATTTTTGTAAACCTACATTTAAACCTACACTAAATTATTACGTTAATGACATTTAATGTTATTAGTACTACACAATTAACAATTCCAATTCACTAAATTAAATAATATGACCAAATTAAACCCAATAATTTGAACATGTATATAAGGTCATTTGAATTAATAAATAATACACAATTACAATAACAATTCACAATACACTTAATTAACACATTACTAACGTACGTTTAACTAACTAATTTCACTTAACATAAAGATCACTACGTTTAAAACTACGTTTAGCTAACTAATTTTAATTAAATTATTTTATAAACCTAACAGTTTAACTAATTTTATGACATTACTACGCTTACAGTTGAATATGTTGTTAATTAATTAACAACATCACTAATTTAATAATTTTAATAATTTAAATTGAACCAACTAATTCTAAATAAAAATAATAATTCAAATAACATACCTTAACTGCATAAATGGGGAAAATGATAGAAGACAGACTACATCCTTCGATCTTTCAAACAGATACTGTATATACTGGGAATGAATTCGTGTGGTTCTGTTGAATGAATGAGCTGCTCCTGCATATATAAAAAATGTAGTCACGGACTTAGTCACGGATTTGTCCGTCACTAAGCAAAACCGTGTCCATTACGCGTCCGATCCGTGTTAATGACATGTAAATGACGTGTTAATCAAAGTAGTCACGGACATAGTCACGGACATGGCCGTGACTAAATTTATCCGTACATAATACCGTTGCGGATTGATTTATGGGAGATGAAAAATTATTTTTTAAATTTAGTCACGGCTGTAGTCACGGATGTGGCCGTGACTATGTCGCCGGAGTAAAACAAGCCAGGTCGGAAAAACAAACGGGCAATCGGAGGATGTTAGTCACGGACAAATTTCCGTGACTACGCGTAGTCACGGCTGTAGTCACGGTCAAATCCGTGACTAATTTTTTTTTTGAATTTTCGCGAATATTCCGTGACTAGTCCGTGACTAGGCTAGTCACGGACCAAATCCGTGACTACGGTCCGTGACTAAACGAGTGTTTTTTTGTAGTGAAAGTTGCCATTTTTTGTTAGATGAGTCTTCATTACATCACATATGTGTTTTTCATTGTCCATAACACCATCAATGATAATAAAAATAATATGAATGGTTTTGCTTGTGTCAGAAAACATCTTAATGGCCTGCTCAATGAAAAACAGTGTTAAATCCACCTTATTTGGAAACTTTTTCTAAACCTATTTAATAAATATGAAATTCATTAATTGGAATCACACTTATTAAATAACCAATCTGGAACTCTGGACGAAGGGCTGAATCTGTGGAACTCTGGAACGGGCCAAGACCAAGAGGGAAACCGAATAGAGGGAAACGAATAGAGGGGAACGGGCCAAGACCAAGAGCTGATCTGCGGAACTCTGGAACGAGTCAAAACGACGTCGTTTCTACGGTTCCTGTGCACTTAACCAAACGACGTCGTTTGGATTAATGATTTAATTTTAAAAAAAAAAAAACACTAAATGGAAGATGAGTCTTGGTAGATATAAATCTTAAATGGAAGATAGAAGAAGATAGTAAATTTAGGAAAATTAATTAATTTTCCTAAATGGGAGCATTTAAGGGAGCAGCCCAGTGCACGAAGGCATCCTGCAAGGCGAGTGTCCATGGAAGGGTCCCACCATAAGGGTGTATATGGGGCAAGCCTTCCCTGTCAAAATTTTAGCTAAAAAATGGATAAAGTTGGATAAACACACAAAGCATATATCTTTGCCGCTCATGAAAAAATCCAACTACCTGTAAAATGTTGGTGGTTCCCATGAGTTAGTATGTGCTGGAAAGGTTGTTAACGTAATGAATGTGCATTAAGACTACTTGTGTGGTTGTATCATACACACAATAGGCTCCATAAGTGGGGGTTCACAGTTGACACTATGTGGTTCATAGTCCAAAACCTTACCATCATTTTGTTTCCTTTAAAATTAAGGATATGTGCATTTCATTTTCTGAGTGTGAAGAGAAGTGTTACTTTAGGTAGCTTCCATACATTATAAAAAAATGCTTGAATTATCTATTATACTTTGTCATCCAGTTTAATTTATTTAGGACTAAACGTGAAACTTGGCTTATTCATGGGGCACCCCGGTACACGAAGGCATCCCGCAAGGTGAGCGTCCGTGGAAGGGTCCCACCACAAGGTGTATAATTACTGATTTGAGCGTCTATTCCGTTTGTTATTGGCATTAACCATAATCCATTAATTAAAACTTGGAGAATGACATTTTCATATTTAATATAGTATTTAGTATTGTCATATCAAGATTTTAACAATCCATTAAGTTAAATCATAGGTCCCCTAGGTTTAAGCACATTTAACTTAATATGAATATATGATAAATGAAAAATGCACAATAGGCAGTTGCATTAATGGCTTGAGCTATTTGATGTCATAAGTCATATGTCGTGCATGTGCCTCCACTTAACAACTACTATAAAAGTCTAATATCATGTAGCTTCTAATCTTCTCCCCGCCGACTTTCAATTAAAATAGTTGCTTATTACAACTGCATTTGATCTCGCTGTGCTAGGCTAGCTTAGTTAAGAACGGTCTTAATGATATAGGGTTTGGTGCAGAGAACTATTTCTCTGTGGCATCATTCGTCTGTATAAGTTATAACCATGTATCCTATAACCATATTCTGGACACCAATATCTAAATCCATATGTCCTTTACTTTTGGAGTAGCCTCCTATAATATCTAATCAATCTGATTTTATATTTGCTGTTCTCACAAAGTTTTTTCCCTAGCGGATGACTATGGAGACAGTGAAATCCTTATGGTACTGCTGATATTTGGTAAGATATTATCAAATGTAGTCTGGATTAGTAGAAAGTAAATAATTCCTTTTAACCTGAGCCACATGATCTCTTTTGGAGAGATTATACACAGAGGCGGAACCAGGGGGCGAGCCGGTGCTGGCGCCACCCCTTCGCCGGAGTTTTTGAGGTAGTAGTATTAGGTATTCCGGCCGGCGCCTCTTCATCTTCTTCGGTGAAACCTTGCTCTGCACCCCTGCTATTCCGAGAAGTCGAGAACTAGCGTACCAGATGAGACGAGTGAAGAACGGCCATAGTGTTTTTTTTTTAAAATTCAATCATTAATCCAAACGACGTCGTTTGGTTAAGTGCACAGGAACCGTAGAAACGACGTCGTTTTGACTCGTTCCAGAGTTCCGCAGATCAGCTCTTGGTCTTGGCCCGTTCCCCTCTATTCGTTTCCCTCTATTCGGTTTCCCTCTTGGTCTTGGCCCGTTCCAGAGTTCCACAGATTCAGCCCTTCGTCCAGAGTTCCAGATTGGTTATTTAATAAGTGTGATTCCAATTAATGAATTTCATAATTATTAAATAGGTTTTGAAAAAGTTTCCAAATAAGGTGGATTTTTATCATAAAGTCTTTTGTTTCCATATCAATATGCAATCAAAAATAGAATCTAATAAAATAAATAAAAGATACGGAATATTAAAAAAATTAAATGATGGATGACATGGCATGATTAGGCGGCGCTTTGTATGCTCTTAAAAAGTTCCTCTTTTATATATATATATATATATATTGATTATATGTGCACAGAATGCGCCATATATTTCAAGAATTTATTTGAATGTCTTCCCGATCGAATTTTGAGCTGAAATATGGTATGGATAAACTAGACTTGATGTTGAACATGCTCAAAAAATTTCATAAAAAAATTCTACCCGGAAGGACCTCTAATGGCTTTGTCCGTACGGAACCCCCCGTACATCCATATGTACATGATCATTCCTCATTTTTTTTATCATCACATGATCATTCCTCATAGAAAGCATATATATAAACATTAATAGATACGAAGTATACATTAAATAGTTGTCAATAATTTTTCATTTATGTAGAAGAGAAATACTCCGTATATTAGTGTGTGACTTCAAGAAGAGGAAAGATATTAGTGCGTGACTTCAAGAACTAGTTAGAGTGGGCCCTATGAACTTGTAACTTGAATTGGAACTAATAAAGTAATTTAGTGATTCAAATTATTCCATATACTAATCGTGTTACTTTGAACTTGTATGATTTCATCGAATTTTTTTTTGACAAAAATAAATATTAGCTCAGCTCCACTCAACTTTGTCAAGTTGATGTTATCTGGAAAATTGAAATAATAAAAATCGTGTAGTTGAGAATTGTGCAGTGAAAAGAGAAATGAATTGAACCATAAATTCATTGCTTTAATAGTAAAGTGTCAAAGTTTTTTGGGCTAAATAAAAAGAAAAATTGGCAAATTCCAATGAAACAAAAGGAGTACATAATTTTCATGCTTATCGCATTGATAAGAACATATGTATGATTAAAGCATTCATAAGAAATTATACCTCCACACATTTTCAATGATCAAACTAATACTTCCTTCATTATTTTCTTAATTGCAATAGCCAACAATTCACGTTTGTAACACATAAGTTTGATCAATAGTATTTTTCATTTTTTTGAAAACATATCTTTCATTTCTTATTAATAAAGAATTAAATAAATTCAGTTTTTGAAAATTTAGAATGCGAGGAATTTAACAATATTGTTTGGATAGTGGGATGTACCTAGAGGCCCCAATCCGCAGACGGGCCCAATCGTAGCCCAGACGGGTCTGGTAGCGCGCACGGCCTCCTCGCACGGGTAGCGCCGATCGGGCTGATCTCTTCACCTAGACTTTTCTATTCGATTCATCCAAAGAAGAGTTCCCCCAAACAATTGGCTAAAAAGCTGGAATTGGCGGGAAGCCATTTAATGCACTACATTTGGAGGGTTTTATGGTTGCGAGTTAACGACTCAGGGTTGAACACATCACCACAACCACCTAATACCTTGTAGTATAAATAACAATGTTTATTTGATTGTAAATGGTTGATAAACATGTACATTTATCAGTATACTTGTCTCTAGTTCTGTGGGTAACATTCAACTTGATCTAGGGGGTAGAAGCTCAGTGACGACATAAGTGTTGTAATCTGATGAGTGTTTTTCTCGCACTTAAAATGGTTGTAGAAAAGTGGTGTAAAGTACGAGTATCGTCTCCACAGGGACGGACAAAAGGGAAATAAAGATTAACTAAACTTTAGCGATTAAAAAGAAATAAATAAAATAAAAATGCAATTGGGCGAGATTGATTGATTAAACTAAAACTAATGCTAATGAGCGAATAAAAAGATTTGGTTTTCCTTAATTAACGACAAAGGGAACAGGAATTGATTCCGGGGTTAACCAGATTTCTGGCAGAACAGGCCTAATCACATGAATTTAATTTAATTGAGCCTAGCTAATCATTACTAAGTTCTTACCGCTCTCGCGGCGTAGAGTACAATAATTTAGGGGTCCCGGCTGATCTCTCATGCGACAAGATCCTAAATTATTGCCAAAACGAGCGAGCTTACGGCCCCTTAATCGCTACTAATCTCTTAGCGAACGATTAAGTGTGTGTGAATGTGTCCTAGAACAAATTAGATCTCTCTTAATTTATTCTATAAGCAATTGTAATTCTAGTGGCCATCTAGGTTACAAAAGATATCAGTTAAATTATTCAAACACAAATTAAACGTCATTCATGCAATTAAACCGAAAAGAATCTAGCCATTCATCATGATTAACCCCTTCATCAACCCCAAATCCCTAATTAAACTACTCACGCCTCATAATTGACGAATCAAAAGAATTGGGATGAATAGAAATAATTGTCATTAATTAAAGAATTGAACTTACAAAGAATCCCAGGTTCTTGGATTAAACAACGCAAAAACGCAGGTAAAACTCGTCCCTAGGCCTCTCTCCAAAGTTCGTAACCCTCAAAAGTGGGTATGGAGGCCTTATTTATAGAAAACAATGAATTCGGGTCGAATTAGGACAAATCGCGGCCAGGCACGGTGCCAGGCACGATCGTGCCTGCGACCGTGCCTGCGGAAGAAGCCCGTAATTCGCGTCCAGGCACGGCGTGCCTAACTTCCAGGCACGATCGTGCCTGGCCTCCAGTAGCTCGGTTCCTCGATAAATGCCAGGCACGGCGTGCCTAGCTGCCAGGCACGATCGTGCCTGGCCTCCAGTAGCTCCCAGGAAAATTACTCTTCAGGCACGGCGTGCCTAACTCCAGGCACGACCGTGCCTGACTCCATTCTTCACTTTTCCTTCGTTTTCTTGCTCCGAGTGCTCCCGAATGCCTACGAGGTCGATCTAAATGCACTTTCTTCACCAGAATTTCGTCGCGAATCTCCCGGTGGCCTCCAAATCTTCCAAATCTTTCTCGAATGCCTTCAAATCCTTCCCGAATGCCTCTCAAGCGCCGATTGCCGGACTCTAACTTCTTCAAATCAACTCCAAATGCAATGACACTCGATCCAACGCCTGTTAAACATAACTTGAGCCAAAATTGAGACTTGCAACGCCTTAAAGCCAGGAAAATCATCAAAATCCGACCCGAACACGCATCAAATGCGTGTCTAAATACGGACTTATCATAATCGTTCTAAGAACTTAATAGAACTGAATCCACTTTGTTTTTTGTTCACTTGTTATGATTTCTATTGTTATCTTGCCTTAACACCCAATAAAGTAACTTCAAAAAGTCCTACGAAAGGCCAAATGATTTTGTTGGACTTTGGATTGCGAGGAATTAATTTCAACAAATATATTTCAAAAATTTAATTTATAATATATTATTAAATAAAATGTAGTCAAAATAGAGTAATTTAATAATGGAAAATATTTTTCTTTCACAGCCGTTATATCAGAAATTTTAACGAGCCCGTCACATGCCCCTTAAAATGCACGCTAGTCCACGTGGCATCTATTTATTTAAATTAAAAGAGTTTAACCGGCTACGCGTCCAACATATCCCTCTTTGCAAAATCATTTTAACATTTCTGATTTCTCCACATTTCGGGGGTTGTCTTTAATTTAGATTTTAAAGGATTTTGAAAGATTATATATTCCATGGATTTTAAAAGATTTTTACAGATTCTATTTGATTTTAATGGATTTTAAAACGAAAATTGTCCTAAATAGGACTAATAAGTTCCTAAAAAGCACAAATAGGACTATTATTTTTAAAATTCCCTAAATAGGACTAAACATTGATTTTCTACCCTAAATACCCCTAAGAGTATTAATTCATAATGAAATGCTTTAATTCATAATAAAATCATAAAAAACGTAAAAAATATTTAAAAAAACGTAAAAAAATTATAAAAAATTTATAAAAAAATTATAAAATAAAAAATTTAATTTTTTATTTTTTTATTTTTTTAAAAAATAATAAAAAATAGTAAAAATCCATAAAAAATGAAAAAAATTATGGATACCTTTCTCACCGCCTCCCGCCGCCTCCCGCCGCCACCACCTCCGATTGGTGAAATTTCTTCCACTTTTGGTAAAAAATGCCATATTTTTCTGAAAATGCCAAAAAGATGGCATAATTACTCTTCAATATGCCAACATTTTCATTGAATATGCCATCATTATGGCATTATTTAAAATGTTGGCATATTTTTCTCCGGTGATGGGAGATGGTGGTGCTGGGGGTGGCAGGGGTGGTAATGTTTTTTTTTAATTTTATGATTTTTTTATTTTTTATTTTATTTTTTTTTTAAAAATATTTTTTTTTATTTTTTTTAAAAAATATTTTTTATTAATTTTCTATTATTGTTTTACGATTTTCAGTATTTTTTTCGATTTTTATTAATTTTTTTATGATTTTATTATTAATTAAAACATCTCACAAGTTACAAGGGTATATTTGTCCAAAAACACATAAATAGTCCTATTAAGGGAATTTAAAAAATGTAGTCCTATTTGTACAATTTTGTCACTTTTTAGTCCTATTTAGGGAATTGACTCATTTTAAAATCTACATGGGCACTAGACAACGGTTCAAACTGCAATTGATGAAGCAGCGGTTCAAACTCAAACAATATTCTCTCCACTCAAATACCAACCTATTGGATCTTATCTTTGTTTCTTACCCTTAACTCAGTTCTTGAGTTACTATTGGAATCGGAATCTGAATCCAACTGGGAAGATGGAACAGGCCGACATGAGATCTGGTTCGGTCTATGGACAATGAAGTAATTGAAAGCAACAGTGAGTTTCTCTTCATTTCATCTCTTCATACGTGTGTAAACTATTTACAATTTGCGGAAAGTTTCCGTTCACGCACGGACTGAGTAATAGTGTATAACCCACAAAAAACTGAAGAAAGAAGAAACAGAAAGAGAAGAAGGAGCTGGAATATTACAGCTTTGTTTCGTCTACTAGGGCGGTGCTAGTTTTGCTCTCGACGGGAATCCGTGGAAATCCGAAGGGGAGAGCAGAGAGTTTGGGTGTATTCTTTCCTTTGTATTTCAGATTTGGAAATCCACGAGAATCCTTAGCAATCCAGACTTAAAGAATCCACAGACATTTTGAGGACACCCGGATTTTAGTAGACTCCACACAAATCCAAATTCAGGACAACTAGATTCAGATGGAATTCTAAATTCCTTTAAAATCTGTTAGAATACGAGGACACCCCCTTCTTCTCTAGCTACTAGAAAATATTCTCCGACCAACTTGAAGGAGACAGGGAAGAGGAATTTCACGCAGCCGTACGCGTCCAAGTCGGATAGCTAAGCCGCCGACTCGGCTTGAGATCGGGATGAGGTAGATGATGCCTCCTAGCTGATGACGGATGGAATCGGAGTTTCTTTAGCTATCCACCGATATATAGGCTACAGTTATCCTATAACTTCCTTTCTTGGTGGAGAAGAAGTGAATAAAGGTACTCACTTGCTGTCTGGCTCTCTATAGCGAATTGGGATGGCTATCCAACTAGGTCATTTTGGAGCCATT